GTCCTTCACGCAGTTCTAATGAGGACCTGGGTTTGAGCACCAGTATTGAATCTGACTCTTGGAGGATGAGGCCCTGGAATCGGTATTTCTTAACGGTGTCCTTTATGCAGTTCTAATGAGGACCTGGGTTTGAGCACCAGGGTAGATGCATTTTAGATTATTTTTGGTTCTCTAATAATCTCCACATGCAGCTTAATTCTCCAAGGACACACTTGCTCTGTAATGTGCAGCCCATTTGGGGTTTAAACCTGGCTATGTTGGCTTTTTGTCATTGATTTGAACGTAGGAAATAAACTCCAAAAGGCTTTTTTCCCCCCTGTTAATTGACCACAACTCTATATTAAACCTTTCGCTAACACCAGTGTGCATCTTTCTCGGCTCTGCTCTCAGGAAGGTATGTGAAAATTAATGGGATACACGTGGGTTTTCATCTACTTCACCCTACTCTTTCCCCTCCATTACCCAGAGGCCTGAGGAAGCTGAAACCTTCTGTAAATGATCAGTCTGTTTTGTAGGCTTAGTTTTTTCCAGAGTAAGAAATTCTAAGGAGTGGAATTAAAATCTCTCTGCAAAGCACTTGGGTCCATGGGGGTAAATGTCCCCGTAATGCTCTGTCTGGGACAGAAAAAAACAAGCAGTGGGTACCCACCTAACAGCTATACCTTTTTGCCTAGAATTCTGGAGATTTTCCTGTTTTGCTTCAGGTCAGGGCTATGTCCCTGAAAGCTGTCAAATTTGATTGAAAAAATGGTGTACTTTGACTGAAGAGATTAGGCATTTCATTATAGCTGTAGCTGACTTAGGTGCTGATATAAATCATCTCAGCTACTCGAAATGACCATAAGTTAAGTGATAGTGGTGTCAGAGCAGTTGATCAGTTATTCCCCCTTGGAACATTACATTTATTCTGAATGCTGAACAGGGTTCTGTGGCAGTCAGTCAGTGTGAAGGGAGGCGAGGGGACAATTCCATGCTCTCTGAGACCACACGTAGGGCTGGTTGAAGACATTTGTGCACACACACACACACCCACCCCTTGTAAAGCTCGCCATGAAGGGCAATTGGTAAGGCCATTAATGGAGGCTACTTATGACTCTGTTGTTTATGATAATCATTTATTTACTTAAGTAAAACGTTTGGCTGGCTGTAATTTTTTTGTAAACATTAAATCAACTGAGTCTCTGGGAGAAGATGTGTGAGTGCAGGTCACTGATACATGATCCCTTCATTACCCACAGACAGTTATTGACAGAATGACCTAAAGATATCAAATTTAAACCAGCTGCTATTTGTAGTTTCTGGTTTGATGAGGATTATACACTCAAATTACCAAATTTGTTAATATTACAATAGTTTTATTCCCTTTATGAAAACATTAGCTTTGTCTTTTCTTGTTGCAAATCTACAGGCCACACAACATGCTAATATATCCTTCTATTGCCCACTCTGCTAATTTGCAATTCATAAGTTAATTAACAGAATTTTGAAATATCCTAAATATCCTTGTTATATGGCTGCAGTTTCTACATGCCTCCCTACCCTGGATTAGGTCCCTCTCTGTTTCCTCTTTAATAGCATCCATTTTATTTGTAATTAATTTTTTAATGTTCATATTCTCTTAGATTATAAGACTAAAATAACAGAGACCATGTCTACTATTTTCACCATTTTATCTTCCATGCTTTGCACCATTCCTGGCACACAGAAGGCATTAAATATCTTTGTAGTGTCCTAGAATAACAATGAATTAGTGATGGGTCTTGAATACCAAGGGCACAGAGTAAATTAGAGTGTTTCCTTGCCCTCCAGCAGCCAGGCGGAGAAACCACGAAATTATCTTGGGCTGATGACACCACCCAGTGGCCACATAGGAACTTATCTCACCTGCTATGTTTTTTCCTACCACCTGTTACCCATTCCTTTCTAAAGAAAAGGAGAAAATACACTTGTAATCCTCAGGGATCTCTCTAGCACCATTTTTTCTTTTTTCCTTATCTTTTCCTTTTGCTTACCATCACCACAATCCTGGTCCTTCCTACCCGGCCTTCTTTGAATCACCTTCTCTAAGTTCCCTTCACTCTCCTTGCTTACCCCCACCACAAACCATCCTCCAACACACCATTTGTCATAGTTCCCTGCGTCACATGCTTTGTTTCCCTGTAGCAATGTTTTTCACACTATAGATAATAATTCACTGATTGTTTTTAATCACATTGGTAATAAAAAGGTAATGAAAAACCAAAGTATATTGCATAAAGTTGGGGAAATAGTGTTTCTTGAAAATTGCTTAAAATATTCATACAGAAACACACAGAGACATTATGCCACATACTATACCTATGAAAACTCCATTCAGCAGGGTCAAGTCTAATAACCCTGATCTTAAAATCCTACAACCAGCAGCTTGTGGTAAAGAGAACACTAAGACATGAGCTCCATGGTGGTTCCTTCTGCTCATAAACTTGAACATAATCTTGCCTCAGCTATATAATGGGGAAAGTAATAATTAATAGAAGTTACTTGAAAATTAAATAATATAGTAATGCAAAATGTCCATTACAGCATTTCATATACATTATGGGACCAATAAGTATCAGTTTTCTGTTTGTTCGTACTTGTTCCCCTTTATCCTCCTACTTTTTTCGTCTACTTCCACCAGATTATTATCTTTATTCTCTAAAAATAGTCTCTGGGTTTTTTCACCTTTACTCTGTTGCTTTACTGTCCTCCTCACACATATGACCCTTCACTGTCAATTTACCTACTTTTTCTCCTTTCTTTCAAAACCCAGCCCAAGTGCCACCTTCTCTATGAAGCCCTCCCTGACTATGTAGCACTGGGTAAGAGTCCTGTAAGCTCACTGGAAGCAGCATCTATATATTTACAGTCCTCTGCCTTCCTTCAGATCAGAGAGTCATGCTTTAGCTCCGAAACAGCTTACTGAATGAAAGGAGAAAGGTTTCAACAGCAGTAGCACCACTGGGGGTAAATGAAGTCTGCTCTGCAACTTACCAGTTGACCAGTTGGCTTTATAACCATCTCTTTATTCCCACTATTCTGCTTTCTTTTTCTCTTAGAGGAAATGATTTTCATGCCTTAGCTATGAAAGTTGAGGACAGTAAAAGGACCATGAAGAAAAATGGATAAAGAATTTTTTTCTTTCTACGGTATAGTTATTTATCCACCATCCATCAGTAGCCATTTTTAGGATTCTATTAATAAATTATAATGAACATAATTGAATATATAATGTCTTTTCAGATGAAAATAAAGTAGAAGCCTTATTGTTATGAATGTTAACTTTTTATATTGATTTATATTGAGATATTATTTCTGTTTCCAGTCATCAGCTGGCCATGGATATGGACAATAATATTGAAAAATACTCCTTCAATCTACAGCCCTTGGAATCAAAGGTGAAAATGTAAGTTATTTCAAAGTTTATATTAAGCAATTGGTTTTATGGTTGTAGTTTTATAAACTTCTGGATAAATCTAGAATGGAGGGAACAAGGGTTTCATAGTTTACATTTATCTTCTGCACCTTATTTACTCCCTTTTCTAAGCAGCAACAAAGCTGCTTTGGACACTCAGCACCATCTAGTGGACAATGCAGGGAATTATTCGCTTTCCATTCCTTCACCACTTAGGTTTATCTCTTACAGGTTGAATGTAATTCTTGAATTTCCACCACTTTTCATCTTAGTAACTTTGTTAATTCTACCTCAGAAACAGTTTGGTGTCAGACTGTCTCTTTATTAAACACATACATGTATCTATTTTTTCAACTTCTTTCTTCTTATTTCTGCTCTAACTTTCGTTTAGTTATTTTGTAACACATGTTCTCTGTATTCTCTAAAAATACCTCTTTTTCCTTTTTACTCTATTTTTTCTTTCTCACTTTCTATCATATTTCTTATCCTGTCTTAATAAAGCCAAATGTGAGTTCTTTCCCCCACTATAAATGACTATTACATTAAAATAGTGCTAACAGCTCGATATTCATAAAAAATGTAACTAACAAAATCCAGAGTGAAAAAGGCTCTCTTATAGAACAAAACATCAACCTTTTAAAGCCACTTCAGTAGAGAAGGAGTGTATCAGGATCACTTTGGAAGCAATTTAAAAACTTTCAAGACTATTTTCTGTAATCCTTCCCCATTCTGGTGTTTCTTCAGGGGTGCATACAAGAAATGCCAGTGAGGGTGTATATAAAACATCTCTTTCTCTCTTTTCCTCTCTCTCTCTCACACACACACACACACACACACACACACACACTCAGCTCAACACTCTGTGAAGTATGGACCTGAGGATTGAAGTATATCTGAGCTTGGCCAGAATCACTGATCATTTGCAAAAAACATTTTAGGAAACACATTACTCTTAAGAAGACTCCCTTGAGGCATATAACTTTGAAGAATAATGATTTACCACTAGATGTAGGGATTGAAACAGAAATTATACAGATATATAATATCTTACTAAATAAAAGCAAATATTAATACATATCCCCATACATCTATATTAACCTTAGTCATCAGTAAAAAGCTTGCTTCTACAGGAACACATAGGGCTACTTCTCAAGATACAGTCCAAATAAGGCTTCTGAACAAGTGGGGTCCCCTGCTAGGAAGCTCTGTGTCACACTTACTAAATGAATAATAAATCAAGCAATCAAATAACTGTATGTAAGTAGCGTGTCAGCTTTACTACACAAGTCATTAGTTTGCAAGCATAGGTTGCTTAATCATTAGGAATTTTTCTCATTAAGATAAGGTCCTATTAAATAAAAAAGTGCTGTAAAGGAAAGTTTGTGCATGAAAATTAAGAGTGTTTAATTTGGCGGTGGAAATTAGAAAACCTCTTTGGTCTTTTTTAGTTTCTATCATCTTCATTATGCAGAAGCAGAGGGGCAAATATTAGGAGGAGGAGGAGGCAAAGAAAAAATCTCTGTGCCTGGGATTCCAGCCAGCTCAGAGAGCCTGAGTTTTAAATTTTACATTTGCTGATCTGACAGAGGAGTATCAGCTCAATGTGGCACAAACAGAATGGTGTTTATCTCCTCTAATAATGTTGAACCCTATTTCCATTCCCTGGAGAGGGATGAGACAGAGAAATATTAATCTTGCCTAATAATAGAATTTGAGTCCCATTGAAGAATTTAGTCTAGTTCAGCGAGTTGTGTCTAATCTGGTTATTAAATTCTTCACTCTCCTGGCAGGTTGTACATCGCCCCCACACGTGACCTTCCCTGCAACTCCTCCTGTATTTTGTCACTCTCACTATTGTGTTTACTTTCCCCACATTTTTGGACTTGAGATACCTCTGTGTGGTCCTTTGAGGGGAGTGGTCTCTCCCTTCTTTCCTCTTTCTCTCCCGTCCTCTCCTTCTTCTTCCTTTCCTCTGTTGGTGTCGCTTCTCCTGCCCTTCATGTGCCAAACCCCAGAGCTGCCTCAACTTTCCCGACAGTGGCAAATGTTTTCACTTTCAGGCAGTTGTTTCTTTTCAAAGAGCTCTTAGTCTTGGGACCCTGAAGGAGGGATCATTGGCCCTCTCCTAGGCTCCCTCCCAGTGGTGTAGGCTGCACCCCTCATTGGGGTCTGCCCGGTTTCCCTGGGCTGTGCCCCATGACCAGCCCAGCAGGGCCCTCCCATGGTCAGCCTTGGCATCTTCAACAGGGGGAATCAGGGATTCTCATGCCTGCTGCCCAAAGGAGGTTCCGTAGCCCTACAATATGAAAGATGGGCCTTCATCCCAGGTTCTAGGGGAACCCTCACCATCACAAGCTTTCTTCTCTTAGGGCCTTTTGACTTATTTTGGTGGGGACCAAGTAAATATCTACCTCCTCCCAGAGGTAGGGTGAAGAAAGGGTCACCACACCATAAAACCAAGACTCCCCTCACTGCTGAGAAGAGAGTTATAGGTCCCAATACAGGGTTTTGGGGGGAAGTTCCACACCTGCAGGCCCTGAGGGCTGAGGGAGGGTGGCAGGTACCTTGGCAGGCCAATCTCTGAATGTAAAAGGTCAGGCCATAGAAGAACTTTTCTTAGGTGTGGGATGCATTCATCACAAACCTGCAAATGGGAACCCCTGGACAGAAAGACAGGCAGCAGAGAATCCCAGGCAGTTCCTTATACTCAGGACAACATGGAAAGGAAGGAATTTGTGACAAAGCTTAGCCTGCATACAGCAGTGCAAGCACTGGAAGGAAACAGAGGCCTGTTGCAAAGTGTGGCTCAGTGAGAGGACGTGTATGTCTCTTTGAGAGTGATTGTATGTGTGTGTGTGTGTGTGTGTGTGTGTGTGTGTGTGTAGGGTATAGAATTTAGGGGAAGTGTCAGAAAGGTTATGTTACCTGCTTCATGGATGTGATTGTTAAGGAGTAATTTTGAGTTTTAGACTTGGAGGATCAAAGTACAGCATCAAAGGGCAAAAGCAATCAAGATGCACAGCTCTTAATGAAAAGGCATTTGGGGAGGTGAAAGGCAGGTTTCCTGAAGATCAACCAAAGACAAGTGTCCCAGGTCAGAAAATTTAGGGAAAGCAAAAGTAATAGTAAGCACAACAAAATAAAGTCTCCCTGAACAACTCTGAGACTGAAGATGAATGTGTTCTTAAGAGCCGTGGCTGCACAAGGTGTGGGTGGAGGAGGTCAGGGAGGAGGTCAGGGAGGAGGTCAGGGAGGGGTACAGGGAGGAGGTCAGGAAGGAGGTCAGGGAGTGATCCAGGGAGGAGGTCAGGGAGGAGGTCAGGGAGGGGTACAGGGAGGGGTACAGGGAGGAGGTCAGGGAGGGGTAAAGGGAGGGGTACAGGGAGGAGGTCAGGGAGGAGCTCAGAGAAGAGGTCAGGGAGGAGCTCAGGGAGGAGGTCAGGGAGGGATCCAGGGAGGGATCCAGGGAGGAGGTCAGGGAGGAGTGAAGGGAAGGTCAGAGGGAGGAGCACAGGGAGGAAGTCAAAGAGGAGGTCAGGGAGGGGCACAGGGAGGAGTGAAGGGAGGAGTGTAGGGAGGGTCTCAGGGAGGGACTCGGAGTGGAGGTCAGGGAAGAGTGGAGGGAGGAGCTCAGGGAGGGACTCAGGGAAGAGTGGAGGGAGGAAAAGAGGGAGGAGGTCAGGGAGGAGCTCAAGGAAGGGCAGAGGGAGGAGCAGGGAGAGGGGCAGAGGGAGGTGTGCAGAGAGGGATGCAGGGAAGAGCTCAGGGAGGAGTTCAGGGAGGATTGGAGGGAGGAGCTCAGAGAGGAGCAGAGGGAGGAATATAGGGAGGAGGTAAGAGAGGAGTTCAAGGAAGGACACAGGGAGGAGCGGGGAGAGGGACAGAGGGAGGCGTGCAGAGAGGGATGCAGGGAGGAGTACAGGAAGGGCATAGGGAGGAGCCCAGGGAGGATTGGAGGGAGCAGCTCAGGGAGGAGTGCAGGGACGAGCACAGGGAGGATTGGAGGGAGGAGCAGAGAGAGGAGTTCAGGGAGGAGTTCAGGGAGGAGCTCAAGGAAGGGCAGAGGGGGGGAGCAGAGAGAGGGGCAGAGAGAGGGGCAGAGGGCGGAGCACAGGGAGGGGACCAGGGAGGAGCTCAGGGAGGAGTACAGGTTTTTCAGGAAGGCCTCACTGCAAAGGAAGGAGCTGAGCCCAGGTCCCAGCAAGCCACTG